ACTATCTAGGATAGTTTGCTCGGCGAGGCGAGGGAAAATACAGCGTGACGAGGCGCGGTAAGCGAGAGAGAGAGAGAGAGAGAGAGAGAGAGAGAGAGAGAGCGAGAGAGAGAGAGAGAGATTTCCCTCGCGTGGCACGATAGTCGTGCGTGGCTACTCGAATGAGGGTGGCGACAGTTGAACGCTATAAACCCCTTCATGCGGCTGATGCGTATCTCGCTCATAAGCGCGATACTTCCTTCTTACTTTGAAAGCGCGTGCGTTCCTCCGATGACGCATAAACGTCGCGGGGGCCGTATCGATGATCGTGCACGCTCGAGAGTGCGCAGCGCCGACATATTAATAAGAAAAGAAGGAAGAACCACCCAGAGCTGTGGCCAAAGTTTCACTTTGGAACTCGTGTCGGTTCGCTCGCGAAGGATGGATCGTTGCGCGTACGATCCCCAGCAATCCGAGCAGCCGCAAGCGCGACAAAGAGAACGCGCAGGGATTGACGCAGGAGCGACGACGCGTCCACGCGGGGATCTTCATTCCGCTGCAACGAGCGGCCGAGCAATCGTCCAAATGCGCTGCCGCGAGCTGCATCGCCACGTTGAATCGCCATCAGGATTATTAAGACCTACTCCGTTTGCGATCGGACAAGCGACTATGTGGAGTCGCAGCAGCAGCAGCGGCGGCAACCTCCGCGTGGCATTTCGCTCGCATCTCGCGACGAAGGATGGATGCCACACGTTCGCGTCGCGGCGCGGCCGCGCGGCCGCATTATCGGGATGAATTTACGGCGTCGCTCGTTGGGCGATCCGCACTCCGTCGAGCGTGACGGACCTGTTGGCGGTACGGAACGCGCGCGCTGTTACGTGGCGCAGTCGACCACACACCGCGCGCGTACGGTTTTAGCGCACCGTCTTTTTTCGCTAATAAATCCGAAAGCCGCCGTACGGTATTGTAGAGCCGGGCTTTCGCGCGACTCTGTCGCTTTAGCGAGCTTTCGGCCGAGCTAATTACGGAACGAACGTAACGTCAAAGCGAGCGCGCGCGCGCGCTCGCGATAAAAACGATCCTCCGCACGAGTGGCGTCGATATGGCCTTCGATCGATTGCGAAAACACGACATCCTGTTCCCAAGGCTCTCTCTCTCTCTCTCCCTCCGCTAACGATATCGCACTCACGACTCGTAATTAGTTTCTCAGTTAACCGTGTCGCTCGCCGATGTTTCATTTACCGTTAATTAACCCCGCGTCTACCTTTGAATATTTAATTTCCACGATTGCGGTTTCCTGACGCACGGCCGATCTTTATTCATGAACTCGAAAAATACGACGGCGCCGATGAATTTTATCATTTCCACCGCGCGCGTTATGCAACGTGGAAATACGCGCGGGTGCATACCTTATGTAACATTCTACCGCCTGTCCTTTTGCGCAGACCTCCGTTAATCGCGCCTGCAGCCGCGACAGCGGCGATCCGTGCGATATCTCGATCGGCGCTATCGGCGCCGCTGTACGAATCAGTATTACATCTCGACATCGAGTAGCCGCGCGCGCGCGCGATCGTCCATTCAATTCCTCAGGATGAGCGCATAACAACGGCATGCCGCATGAGAAACGGCAGCGCGCGCTGATATTCAATTCGCTCGGCCGCCGCCGCCGCCGCTTGTCCGCATTCACGCCCGAGAGAGACACTCCGTTTCATACGCGATCAATCGATCGTTCCACATCCCTCGATTCGCGGGAGTACACTCTGTACCGCGGGCGATCGATACCTCCGCCCGTGCTCTCCTCCGGCCGGCGCCAAGGAGAACAAGGGGTTGGCGATATCAGGGGGTTGCGCCAGCCACCCCCAGTGTGCGCGCACGTGTTTAAACCGGCTAACCGCGCTCTCGCCTTCTCCGCCGGAGACACGGAAGCGGACTCACATCCGTTTCCGCTCACTCTCTCTCTCTCTCTCTCTCTCTCTCTCTCTCTCTCTCTCTCTCTCTCGTAGAGAAACGGTCGACACCGCTCGGCGCCGCGCGGCAATATCGCGCTCGGCGCCAGATCGGGAGATTCGGAGATTCGCAGCGACCCTCTTCTCGCGGAAATACAGACGGGAGGACAGTCGGCGTATCTCTCACGATCACAGGTGTTTATAATCAGCAGGTGTCTACGATGAAAGAGCGAGCTGCGATTGAGAGCTGCGAGCCCGTTACGCTCATATTCACACTCACGGCGACACTTTGATCGCGGGATCGCTGATGCTGCTCTCTCGCCGTCATAATCGCCCTCCTGCCTTGTCTCTCCTAGCGCGACTTTGGCCGGGATGAATTCAGCCCTTCGAACACCTACGTAGAAATGCAAGACGGTAATCCGACACCCGCTTGTCAGCTCGGGGCGGGAAACGAGCGGCGAGCGCAGAGCAGGAGGGAGGAGAAGACGACGACGAGCGATGATAACGCTTCCTTCGTGTCGTCGATACATTTTGTTGTCGCAAAAGGGCAACGCTCATTGTCCGCTCCGTCTGCCTGTTTTACGCCGATTATAATGATCGATTCGCCGGCGCGACGCTCTGGCGACGTTATCACCACGCAGCTCCCACTCGCTTTCGACCTCCCTCTCTCTTTCTCTCTCTCTCTCTCTCTCTCTCTCTTGCCGCGCGTTAACGTTTCATCTCGGTCGTGGTGGTCGCGCGAATTGTGCTGCAGCGAATCGGCTGACTTGACGGGGGAGGGAGGGGGGGGGGTGGTGGTCTTGAGCTCGTAATCGCGCGCAATCGCTGCGCGATGATTGCATTCGATTTGATCCGATTTCGAGCGGCGACACGGATGACGACGACGACGACGACGGCGACGGCGGCGGCGACGGCGGAGGTTAGCACGGGCAACGGCGGGAAAGGACGGGCGGCATGTTGCATTTGCACGCTCCATAAACGATTAATACGCTCGCTCGTCACGTCCCACGTGTCGGGTGACGTTGCGGCGCGCTCGAACACGCGCATTCCCCGCTCGCGCGAGAGCAGCAGGTCGGAGCCTCGGTGTGTGTTTCTCTCACTCTCTCTCTCTCTCTCTCTCTCTCTCTCGCTCTCTTCTCAACAGGAAAGGTCCTTCGCCTGCGAAGCCTCGGCTTCGTCCGCAATCCGAAGGAGCGAACGTAATCACACAGTGTAGGCTCATTCTCGGCCATGACACACTCGTCGGCCGTAGGTATCTAGCAATTATCGCACGTGCAATCGCTGTACCCGCTGAAGAGTGTCGACTTGTAACGATCCTTAACAACACGCCAGTCTCCCTGTCTCTCCTTACCTCCTCACGGGCGATGTGTCACATTGCGAGACGAAGACGCGCGAGGACAAGTACCTTCGAGACGAGCGCTCCGGCGCGACAGTGCCGGCGAAAAGTGCAACATTGACGAGAGAACGTGAGGAGACGCGTGATGTCTTTTATTTATAGCCGACCGATGGTTTGCGTTTCTAGCGCAGGCCCCCACTCGTTATTGCCGATTCTTGACGACTCATCCGCGAGACTTTAACGAAATGTAATATACACATACATATATCATATAATGTCCGAAAAAAGACGGCGGTCGGCGGTATACGCGGCAATAAAACGTCCGCGGACCAATTAAAGCCGTTAAACCGCGGAATCGATAACTCGAAAAAAAAAATAGAAAAAAATCCTCTTATTAACCGGCGCCACTGAGGAAAATCGTCTCGCTGGGAGGGGGGGGAGGGGAGAGGGAGGGGCGGAAGGCGGGGAGCGCAAACAGCGGGAAATCCGCGAGGAGTCCGTTTTATTTGCCGCAACGACGTCGTTAGCGCTCTCGCAATTTCGTGCACACCCTCGCCGGCGCGTAGATCGCGCGTAGCGGCGGGCTCCCGAGGCGAATCCGATCGATCCCGAAATAGACCTGCCGACAAGAGCAACGTAACGAGGATGCGGAAGGTTGCTGGACGGTAGCAACGAGGGGAAGTTGCGGTACGCCATCAACACCAATTGTGGTTTCATCAATTTTCATCGGCGCGGCTTTTGGGAGCGGACCAGCGGGCGGCGAGAAAGGTGTCGGGCGCGTGACGTGTTCGCGCGACGCTTTTTCGGCCAGCTGCGTCCAACTACGCACATCCAAGGACGACCCGACGCGACGGAGTTCTGTGTGAGCGGACGCACCGGGCTACGGCCAATAATCACATTCGTTCGGCGTTTTGCGCGCCAGCCTCCAGAACGTCAGCCCTCTCCTCAGAGCGTAGCCCCCGAGATCGCTTCCGTCGGAATACCGTATCGCGTTACGAGCGTGCTGGGTGCGCGCGCGCGCGCAGAATCCGCCTCCGTCGCGTGATGCTCGCCGATCGATGCAAAGTCGATGCTCCAGCCAGTTGTGTGTGCAGCCGTTGCTGATTAATTTATATTGGCACCTGTGCGCTAATTAGCTGTAACCGGTACTCATTTATTAACGATAACCAACAATGCTCGCGCGGACATCTCGTGGCAGGCACGTTACATCGAGATATAATCGATCGACCGGCGCGCGTTGCCGCCACGAGGATGCCCTACAGGCTAGCGAAGCGTCGCGACACAGAGCCAACGCGCGTGACCGGCGCTGTTAAGTTTTCACGAGTCCGCTCGAGATTCCATCCGAGCGCTGGTGAGCAATTTGCGACACTCGCAACGGTGCGCGGTTCGTGCGGCGCGTTCCGCAGAGTGATTCTCTTCGTGAAGACGAAACAACCGGCCGGATCGTCGTGGATCTCTTCATACACTCGTACAAGTCGAGGTACACGAGGGAAAAATAATAAACTGGAACAGCTCGTAAAAATTCAATTACAATTCACTCCTGCGCTATGATAAATTATATCGTCTACGATGCGATTCGTCTCGTTCTTCTCCACCGATTGCCTTCGGCTGAAGAGCGCGAAATTCGACGACGAGTCCAGGAAACGATCCCTCGCTGCTCACGACGGATTGCCTCGCGACGACGCGAGCTTTCCAACAACGCATTTTCAGACGTCCGACGTCGCTACGACTTTCCCTGCGTGAAGATATCGGCGAGCGGCGAATCCCTCCGGATGGACACCGCGGCCCGCGACAATGTTGAGCGGTGCTTCTCTTCTATCGGTGAACGACGGCTCGGCGACAAAGGACCGAGTTCTCCAAAACTTCGCACGGCTGTGAGAAACTCGGTGAGAAATCTACGCACGGAGGTGAAACAGGAACCATTTTTCTCGGCGTCGCACGCGCCGCTCGCGTGCGCTGCTGTCATGACACGCGTTCGCGCGCGCGCGGCATGCGCGATGCGTCGCTACACAAAAAGCGCAGACTACTATCTAGGGTAACAGAGTAGAAAGAAGTATCGCAAGTTTCCGTCGCGCGCGGACCGGCGAGATTCTTTTCGAGCGAAGCGCCGCCGCGCCTCGCTCGAAAACAAACGTCGCTGCTCGGCGGCTTTCGCGGAATTTCCCAGCTAATGCGCGCGCGTGATTCCGAGCTGTCGGCTGTTATTCGACCCCCGTAAGCCGATACCGTGAACCGATATCAGTGCGACGGCGATAAAAGAAAACAGACGCGGCAGCTAACGACGTTAGCTGATCGTGAAATCTCGTACGAGCGAGTCGATAATGACAGCGCGGCGTAGTCGCGCTCGGGCTTGCGATGAAAAATCGTGTAAATTAGCGAGCTTATCGCCGCGCGCCACGGGTAACATCGGCTTGAACACTAATTAACGCGCGCGCGCGCGCGCGCGTCAGAGAAGTTTCCGAGCCGCGTCGTAATATTCCGCCCGTTAGCCCCGACGATAAACAACAAACTACCTTCGCGGTCCTCTCCATATCTTTCGCACGTTGCCGCGTTCCTCACGGCGTCAAAGATGGCGGTAATTGCGTCTCCTGCGCAATATGCGCTACTTACGTATCTCTTAATTAATTCGTGCCACGAACCACCCAGGAATTATTTCCACATCGCCAAACGCGCACCCTCGTCGGCCCTCCGCCGCGCTACCGTGTCGCTACCTCGCCCCCCCCCCCGCTCTCGCCTTCGTTCTCTTCGTCGTCGTCGTCGTCGTCGTCGTCGTCGTCGTCACGTCGCGTCGTCCTTGCTCCTCGTGCGACGATAATAGTCGCGACGTCGGAGTTTAGGCGGAGTTTCGCCGCCGAAGGGAGCTTATCTAAGTCAGACTCTCGTCGCTCGTAAATCAAGCGACATCGAACACCTTGAATGACTAATTAACGACACCGGCGCGCGGTGCGCATTAACCCCGCCGTGCCAGCACCATCAGCTCCGAGCGAGAGCATCGGCGATTATAATAAACGACCGTTGTGTCGCTCGACGCTGCGGAGAGAATCATTCGCGCATATCACGCGCTTATCGCGGCGATCGATCGCCGATCTCTCTCTTTGTTATCCCGTTTCGCGAAAGCGAGGCAGCTACAATGAAATATGGCCATTCGTGCGAACGGTCCGCGGCGAACATCCGCGAGTCAACCGCGCGAGGCAATCCGCCATTCCGGTAACGTACTCTCGACGGCGAGAACGTACGTCTGATATGATATCGCGTATGATTTATTCAAACGCTTCGTGCGTCTCCGTGAAACATTATCGCCACCGGAGACAAATCGTATCGCGTATACCGGACGATACGTTTCGCCCGGAATTGCGTCATGCCGAGTCGCAGTGCAATCCGTCGCTTCACGAGAGCAAATTCTCAATATGAAAAAGGAACAATACGCAACCGTGCGTTACCTCTCAGAGGTGACGCGGTATTACTATACTAACGTACAAAAATGTTGGCCTTGCGCTTACGCGTTCAGTTAGGTACATCGCATCCTCTCCGAATTCGCGGAGCCTGTATTGACCGACTAAAAAGAGAGAGAGAGAGAGAGAGAGAAAGAGGAGCGGAGAGCATAAGAGATGATAACAAGGCAGTCGTAGCAGGTGTGAAATAAATAAATTTCTCCGGGGGGAGTCCGCAGTGACTTGGATCGCATGACAACTAGGATATTATTCAACTACTTGCGCAACTGGAAAGAGACCGAGCGTTGAACGTATCATTGGCACGATGCGCTTCGAGGTAGTGTACGCACCTACTTCTATCGTCACCCAAGTCGTTCTCGACTCCATCGTATCGTGCGGCTAAACTTTTCGATGATATTGTCGCGAGACAACTGCCTCAATGCAGCATAAGTCACGTCTATCGAAGCGAGTCGCATTCGATGCGAGGGAGTCAACCGAATCGCATGAAAAAGCCCTCTCTCTCTCTCTCTCTCTCTCTCTCTCTCTCTCTGTCTCGTCACGTTGAGACAATGAGAATTCGCAGCGTGTCTCACGGCTCGATAACGGCTGCAGCTAACCGCCTCGGGGACGGTCTCTCGCATGGTGCGAGAGTCTTGCGAGGCGCCGCGCTAATTTTATCTCGTTATGCTCGGTCGAGCGAGCAACACGTGGCGCGATATAAATGTCCCTTGAAAATAATCGACGTGCCTGCGGTGTGGCCGGCCGAACGCGCGAGCGGCCGGTTTCGTTGAAACGCTCTCGCTCTATTTCGTGTACTCGAGCGTCGCAGCCGACGTCTCCTCTCGTCTCGAGGAGTGTAAGCCCCTGAGAGAGTGATTCCTCCAGAGCGATCCGCTTTCAGCGAACCTCGCGACATCGCCGCAGAGACTGATCCACTGATGAGACTATCCCGCGACGTTGCTCCGTTCGTGTCTCTTCGTCGATTCTCCGAGTGGCGTAGAGTTTCTTCTCGGAGAGCGCTCAGAGTAGAGAGCTCCCGCCAAATCCTGGCTGTACCTCCGACGAGTGTCCACCGACGACGACGCCCGAGTGAGCTCGCGGCGAAGGCCATATCTGATGGCTGCTACCATCAGTCTCGAGAACACAACCCGACACGTTCCTGCGCTCCCTCAGTTGCTGACGGATCGACTGCCGCTGCCGGTGGAGTCTTGCCTCATCATGTCCACCCTTATCGGCAATATGGCTCCCTGAGCGATACCGTAATGCTCGTACGCGTCCTTGCCGTAGCTCAAGGTCACCTCCTCGTTGGCTCGTAGTTGACCGAAGCCGCTTGTCTTGCTCGCCGCGCTCATCGGCGGGCCGGCGCCGGCGCCGGCGCCGCTCGCGATACCCTGCAGAGCGTTGAAGCTCTGCATCACCAGGTGCGACGCGCTCGACATGGTGAGCGCGTTCGTCGCGACCTGCACGGCGACTGTCACCGGCGCGAGCGGCGAGCCGTCGACTCGCGCGGCAAGAGCGCTGTTACTCGGCGGAGGCTCGGTCAGGTTCGTCACCGGCGGCGCGGCGACGCCTCGTGGAGCTTGCAAGCTCGACCTCGCCGTCCTCGGCGACGTGACGACGTCCGATCGTCTGGTAGTCGGATGCGGCGACGCGACGGGCGTCTTGCTCGGCGCCGACCGAGGCGGCTCGTCCGTGTCCGCGCTCCGCAGGACCGTAGCTGATTGCGCTCGCCGCGTCGATTCCGCTCGAGTCTCGGCGGTCGTCGCGTCGAAGAACGGCGCGGTGTGAGCGCGATTTTTCCGTGCCGGGATCTGCGGGCTCGTCGGCGAGACTCTCAGCCCGCTGTCGTTGCCAGCCGGGCCCGTCGTGGTGCTCGGCGACGGTTGCTCGCCCGAGAAAACTCCGGCCCGGGGTAACCCGGCTGCAGCCGCCGGAGCTTTGTCGGCTGCGTGAAGATCCTTCGCGTTCCGGACGTTGGCGCTCGGCACGGACGATTGGCCGTTATCATTCGCGAATAGACGAGTCGCCGTCGTCATCGACGGCGCGTCGGAGGGTGTCGCCCCTCGTGGGGGGGACGTGACCACGGCGCGCTCGTGAGTCTGGTCGTTGCCGTTCCTCGCGGCGGTGGCCAAGTTCGGGTCGCCGTTGGGGAAACTGGCGAACCGCGCGATCGTCTCACGCTCCTCGGCCACTCGCGGGGCGAAGGGTATTTTCCTTTCGACCGGCAGTCTGCCTCGCGACGGGGTCGGGCCGGGCCTGCTGGGCCTTCTCTTCCGGTGCTCGTTCGTCGCCGCGCTCGGACGCCTTTCCGGGAAGTGTCTACCCCTCATGGGCACCGGCTCGGCCTCTTCGCTCTCGTTGCCGTCAAAGTTCTCTTCTTCGTAGAACTCCGAGTCCTCGTACATGTCCTCGGACTCGTCCTCCTCGTTCTCCTCGACGATCGCGCTCGACTGTATCCACTCGCGGATGCGGTCCTTCTTCTTCGACCGGTCCACCGTCGTCTCGATGCCGTACGTGGTGAGCGTGTGGAGGAGCTGGTTCTTCTCCTCCAAGGAACTGTGGAAGCTGTACATGGAGGGGCAGAGCTCGTCCCGCTCGTCGGCGCCGCCTGCGAATTTAAAAAGGAACGTCGCTGAGAAATCGCGACACACACACACACACACACACACACACACCGTAGCGTGAATCGCCGTATGAATATCGCGCGATGCGCAGCCAACCCACCGTTCAGTGCTTTCTCGGCCCCGAGTTTCGCCAGCCATCTGTCCTCTAAATATTTGTTCACCTCCAACACGCTAACAGGTCGCTTGTCAGCCTTCGGGTCCAGCAGCCTCTTGAACATTCTTTGGCAAATTGGCGAAAGAAAATGAAGGTGACAGTCTACGGATCATTCTTTAATAATCGCGCTCGGGGAACACAAAACGGCACGAGCACGATGCGGAGATTACTCGCCGATGAGGAATAGTGCGAGTCACGCGAGACCAGCGGCGCTAATTAGACGCGATGTTGAAACAAATTTGTTTACCGCGCGAGCGGAGCGCGATCGAATAGCCAGCGGCCGATCGAATTGGATCGTAATTGGAATGCGCGCTGAGAGACGCGGCGCTTAATTCGCAAGCTCGCCGCTCCTCGGCGGATACCCACCTCTGTGCCCGCGAGCTGATCAGCTGAAATAATTTCGGTTTCTTGGCGATGTTCAGCGTCGCGTTGTGCCAGTTTTGATATCTGCTGTACCGTGGGTCGTCCGACGCCGCCTTTTGCCATGGCAGGCATCCGGTCAGGCAGACAAATAGGACAATGCCGAATTGCCAGACGTCGTGCGACGTGCGAGCTCTGAAAGTCGCCGCGTCGTCGTTAGAATGTATACCTCTGGCGGCCGTGGCCGATCTGCACGTAGGTATCATTCATTACGACGCACGAGAGAGAGAGAGAGAGAGAGAGAGAGAGAGAGAGAGAGAGAGAGAGAGAGAGAAAGTCCATTCCGCGCGAGGACTTGACAACCGACCAAAATCTCGCTCGTGCGTATACAGGGTGTCGAGGAAGAAAGGCACGAACATGCGTTGGGGAGTGAACGCTCAGAGTAAAATCGAGCGCTCGTGTTTAATCTCGCGAGAACTCATCCTCAACATGGCAACCTTGAAGGCAGACGCTGTTTACAAAAAAAAAAAGGGAAAAAAAAAGAGAAGAACGGGTTTACTCGACCTTACTCCGTGTACTTCCTCCATACTTCTTCTTCCTCCCAGGCATCTAATCGCGCGACTTGAATCGCGATGCAAAGCAGCAAACTGTCAATTCAATGGTCAATCACAGAGTATAATTACTTGTACGTCTCGTCAGTGTCGATCTGCAATACCTCGGGCGGCGAGTACGGCAGCCACTCGTTGTGCCTTCGCACCACTGTATTGACCCGCCTGGTCTCGCCGAAGTCGCAGAGCTTGATCCGCGAGAAGTCGCTCCGGAACACGAGTATGTTGTCGAGCTTGATGTCGCGATGCACCAGCTCGCGGCTGTGTATGTGCTGCACCGCGGCGGCGAGCTGCCGAGCCACCCTCTTGGCGTGCAGCTCGCCCAGCCCCGTCTCCGTCACGTTCGACGTGAGGTCGCCTGAAAATCGACGACGGTAACGCGAACGAGCGAGGAACTCGCGGACGACAATACGAATATTTTGCACGCCAAGAGCATCGCACCTCGAGCGCTCCCGAGTAACTCGAATCACGCTCTGACGTGCCTGTTAATCTGACTCGGGTAAAGGAGAAGTAGAGGAAGAAGAGTTGTGGTGGTGGTGGTGGTGGTGGTGGTGGTGGTGGTAGTAGTAGTAGTAGTAGTAGTAGTAGTAGTAGTAGTAGTAGTAGTAGAGAATAGTAGAGAGGAAGAAGAAGAAGAAGAAGAAGAAGAAGGCCGCCAACACGTGCGCGGCCTCGTAAAAATTCTCTCACCGAGCGGGGCGTACTCCTGGCTAAAAACGTAGAAGCCGGCCGTCTCGAAAGCCACGTCGTAAGTGGTTATGATGTTTCTGTGAGCCGCCAGATGTAAGCCATAATGAAACTCCCGAAAGAAATCCGAGATGCCGGTGTAGGCCTTCGGCAGCGCCTTCAGCACCATCTCGGTCTGCGTGCTGCGGTGCTCGGTCAGCAGGATCTTGCCGAACCATCCCTCGCCGACGATCTGCAGGATGTCGAACTCGTCGATCAGGTTCACCTGTTCCAGAAAACGGTTAGTCTTCCACACGGTGCCGTGCATGACGGCGCGCTGTGATCGACGGGGGATCGCTGATGGTCGTCAAACCCGCCGATAATGAAGTTGTTAGACGCTACTCTCTCTCCCCCTCTCTCTCTCTCTCTCTCTCTCGGCTCACGACGATGCTACGCGGCAACGTTTCGCGGCAACTTCGGAGCACGATCTTCCTCGGGGGACGAGGGGGTCTGTCGCAAACACACGTTGCGCTGTCACGAGCGAGGCGCGGCTTATTCGAAGCGAACGCTCGCGCGCGACGATGCGCGTAACATGCCGCTGCACGCCGAGTACAACGCGACGACCGCCCGATGCCGATCTCCACGCAACGTCTATTTTTACACAGACGCACGCTTCGTACCGCGCGCGCGTTCCGATCCCAACGAGTGCGAGCGCGGGACACGCGGCGACGACGGCTTCCCTCCGAGCATCGTCCTGCGTTGGAGCGCAGAGTCCTTTGACCCAGTGGTGGCCGCGAAATTATTCGCGAGAATCGTGACGTCCGGGACTGAGGAATCGCGAATGTACAATATGTAACATTGATGAAGCTTCTCGTTGCTGCTTCGACGACACGATTTCTACAATCTTTGTCGTCGTCGCGCGCGCGCGCGCGCGCGACGAGGACAAAGATTGATCGAATTAACGACACGCCACAATGAACGAGCCAAACGAGCTCGAAAGAGAAAGAGAATTCCCGCTGGCGGGGACACGGATTTTGCTCCGTCAGGAACGATAATTCCTTCGACGCACTCGCTCGATTCGCACATCGTCACGTCGATCGAATCAATCTTCTTTGCCCTGCTTCTAAGCAGCCGTAATTGGGATATCGCGAGCGCGACGTTACGCGTCTGTTTTATTTAAGCGATCAATAATTGTAACAGACCGCTGAGAATTATGCTCGCGCGTCGCAGCGGAAGCGGTCCGCCCGGTCCCGCGCTAATTGCAAAGTGCATCGCGACGCGATGCACTTGCGGTGAGTTCGCGAACAACGCGGCGAGTCACGGTCGTGAACGCAGTCTCGTCACGGATCCACCGTTAGGGAAACATTGGTGCACTGCCAGGCGGGAGAATGGCCGTTAGTCGAGCGAGTATAATGAAATGCTGCCTCGTTCGCGAATACTATTTCGGGCACTCAATGTCTCGGGGCTGGAAAACGAGACGGCTGCCGCGGCGCGGCCGTGTCGGCTGTTTAGCTTCATTCGCGAGCAGAGAGAGAGAGAGAGAGAGAGAGAGAGAGAGAGAAAGAGAGAGAGAGAGAAGCGCCGGGAGACCTCGGGGAAATGGCCGCACGCACAAAGGAAAATCCGATTGCGGCGCGGTGACGGCGACAAGGCGCGTTGGAACGGAGAGATCATTATATACCTTCTCGAGCTCGAACTCCCGTATCCTGTGAATGGAGCCGCCGATCGCCTTCTTCATCCCGCTCATCTCGATGATCTCCGCGGCGCTTTCTCCACCGCGCTGTCGAGTGTAAGCAAAGAACGAGGTCTGCCGGTGCCGCCGATCAATCGGCGCGGATCAATCTGTGGCCGTTGCCGCCGCAGGTGAGTCAATGCAGGCCGCCGTTGGACGCTGGATTATGGATTTCGCAGTATCACCGGTCATCGTTCCCTCCGGAGAAAAGCGCGGAGGAGCATTCCGCACGCGTGTCCGCAGGCGCGGCCGAGAGCGTCCGAGTCTGCAAGAAGCGTTGGAAAAAAAGCGGCTTGAAAAGCGCTCCGTCGGCTTCGCCGATGGTGGCTTTTTGCGAGCGAAACTCGCCCGGGCTCGCAAGAACGACCCGCGCGCCCGACGTATCCGTGACGAACGGATCCGCGTCATCCGCGAGGACGCACGTGCACGACGAAACGAGATGAATCGAGCTCCCCGACGACGCTCGGCGGCGCTCGGCTGAGAAGTGGAACGGCTCGATCGAAATAAATCCGTCCGGTAATATCCTGCCGCCGCGCCGCGCCGCGCCGCGCCGCGTCGCGGCGATCGGCGCGATCGTCGGCGATATAATATATCGCCGCTCGCGACGAGAAGTGCCGTTAACGAGCGGGATGAAATTGCGCGCTGTCGCGCGCGCGAACAGCGAAGTCGCTGCACGCAGCCGGACGCCGGCTAGTATTTTTGTGCCGTGTACAATTGTTGCGCAAAGCTCTGGGCGCGCGAGCGAGTGAGCGAGAGCGAGAGCGAGAGCGAGAGCGAGAGCGAGAGCGAGAGAGAGAGAGAGAGGTCGCGAATCTCAGCGGCGAAACGCACGCCGTGTACATATTATTTTGGCAAAACGCGCCATCGACAATAGATAGAATATGAACAAGTTTCCGTAACGTCTCTAGCAAAAGCGGACGCGATTACGCGCGTGCTGCTGACGCAGAGCTGATGCAGGCGCGTTGCAACATTTTGAGAATAACAGCTTGTTAAAGGACATGCCCGATTTGTTTACTCGCGCTGAGAATATATTTCCAAGATTCACGACGCGAGAAGAGCTTCGACGAGCTGCCTCGTTTGAGCTTGAGTTCTTGAAAAAATGCAGCAGGCATGCGTCAGCGATCTCGTCAGAGATCGCGCTTCATTTAATCATGTTTGCTTTATTCGCGATCCTCCCCCCCCCCTCCTCCCTCCTCCGCCGCCGAGACCGGACGTTGTCGCGTGTGCACGAACGTGCGAGGTTCGCCGGACGGAAAATGACTCTTCGCGAAGACATCGAGGTACTTCCCGCTCGATCTCGTCGGACGGCGAACTTACTTACTGATGCGGCTCGCACGCGGAACGAATCGGGCGCGTCGTCGTTATTTATGTAAGCGGCCTGTGCCGTCTCTCCGCGTGCTGGGCCGACTCGGAAGCAGAAACGAGAGCGAGGAGCCGGAGCGCTGAAACTGCTGCGAGAAACTGCGCTCACGCGAGAAGTCGCGAATGCGCGTCTCACGTTCACGTTCCGCGGGGAACGCACCGCGAGCATTCATCAGGCACCACGAGAGCACGAGACACCGAATACACCGAGAAGACGACGGCCAAGAGAGCAAACACACGCGCGCGCGCACGCACACACACACACATACACACACACGAACACACGCACACGTCGCTCCGCCAAGACCGGCCAGACGGAGAGGACACTGTCGCCGGTGATAAACGTCGGCGAGACGCGCGTATCTGGAGCCTCCACGTGTGACGGAAGATCTCCTCTCCCGAGAACTCTCTCTTTCTCTCTCTCTCTCTCTCTCTCTCTCTCTCTCTCTCCACCCTCGGACGCGAGCGCGCACCGCGCACACCCTCTCGTTCACCCGCGACTAGGGTCTGCCGTGTCCGGTGCACTGTTTGCTCTGTCTGCAGTATTTATAAAACGCGGACCGGAAAGCGCGGCCGCCGAGAGAGCTGGTCTTGGCGTCTTGCCGGCTTGCCCGCGCATCGACTCTTCCTGAAGGCGCGCACCGCGTCATCGCTCGCATCTCGCGCGAGTGGTGAACTCCTGAAGCTGAACTCCGCGAGTCAGTGGCGAGAGTCCGGGTCCGCGCGGCCGCTCCGCGAGTTCGTCTCTCCCCGGTGCCGCGACCTTTACACGCGCACGAAGCGTCCGTGCGTGAAGTTTGCCGCGGAAAGGCAAGAGTGGACGCTCTCGCGCGTCGCGACGGCGAGCCTTGGACGTTTCTCGACAGACAGCTCATCGTGCGCGAGGCGTTAATCACGCGAGGAAACTTACAATTAGTCTGATGAATCAGTCGCGCGAGACGTGCCGGTAGCGGTCGTGCGCGCGTATATAGTTGGATTTTGCATCTCTTTCTCTCTCTCTCTCTCTCTCTGGGCGAAGCCCACTCGCATCTCGCGCATCGCTGAATCGCTGCTCGATTCAGCGCGAGCGAGCGCTTCGTACCGCCGCACGGCGAAACACGTTACGAAAGAAGCATCATTTCCGTTGCACATTTAGATCGCGCGTCGGACGCGCGCGCCTCGAAGCCTCCCCTCGTCGTGTTATATTACCTTTTACGACATCGCGCGGGAGTCCATCGAATGCTAGCGAGTGCGGTTGACCGACCGAGGGCGCCACCGGTTCCCCTCAGCAGAGACGCTTCGCAGAGACGAGCGGACACGCAGGTACGTCAATACATTCGACGGGCTCTTTCCATGCTCCGTATAGCCCCCTCTCACTCTCTCTCTCTCTCTCTCTCTCTCTCTCTCTCTCTCTCTCTCTCTCTCTCTCTCTCCCCCTCCTCCGGGCGTCCGCCTCGTGCCGACCTATTTGGTTCCTATTAAATACAACGATACAACGTGCGGCAACGCGTCGGCGATTTCTTCTCGCGCGAGTCTCGAGAAATTCGCCGCGCGCTAACGTCCTCTCGGCGACTGTCGTTCCACCGGAGAAGCTGCAAGTCGCCACGGAAAGCGTACGCGGATGGTAACGCGGGTAACGTGCTGCGGTGTGCTTTCCTCCAGCAGTTTCACAGAATCGACAGGCAAATTGCTTCTTTCGTTTGCCCACGCGGCCGTTCCACGTGAGATCCCGAGCCAGCCAGCAGCGAGACACCGACGAACGTCGCAACGGAGCATCGCGCGCAGCTCTCTCGCGGGACTTTGTATTTCGCGCCACTGCGGTGCGTGAGTAACGCGACCCGCCGCGAGGTGGCGGCGGCATCGAGCGAGCCGGCTGGAGCGTTCGGAGCGCGTCCCCGAGTGCGTCGACTGCGCCGAATACGTCTCCGCAGCTTTCTCGTGTGTCACCGTGTGTCGCGGCGAGTGCTCAGCCGTCGTCTACACGGGCACTCGCGCCGTCGTACGCCCACGACAGGAATCCGGGGAAGCGAGTGCCTCTGAGTGCTCGGTCGCGAGGAGCCGTCGCGCTGTGTGCGGTGCGTGCTCGCGTACGACCCGTGAGAGAGCGGTTACGCGATCGAGGAAGCGAGAGGGAATAACGGCGAACGGAAAAACGGTCAACGCGGCGACGACAACGTAAAGAGGTACGCTCTTGCTGTGCTCCGCGCGGCGTTCGTGTGCGTGTATGCGCGCGCGCGCACGCGTCCGACAGTTGTACGTGCGAAGTGCGCGTGCAAGTGAGAGAAAGAGAGAGAGAGAGAGAGAGAGAGAGGGAGGGAGGAAGAACGCGAGAGGCGACGGCGAATCGCGGGAGAGGAGAGGAAAAGTGGGAAGTGTGTCGCGCGCGCGGACGCACCGTCGTCATCGGCGAGGAAGGTGCCCCGGAAGTCGCTTTCTGCTCGCGCGAGTATCTGCCTGCGAAAGATAGGATAAATAGAGAAAGAGCGAGAGCAAGGGCAGTCGCGCGGGTGGGCGAGGTATCTCGATAGGAAGAGAGCGGTGGACGGAGAAAGGGGGCGAGAGAGAGAGAGAGAGAGAGAGAGAGATAAAAAGAAAGAAAAGAAGACAAGAGGTAGACGACGACGAAGAGGAGGAAGAGAGAGTAGTCGGGTCAAGAAGAAAGAGAGGATGATCCATCAGCTCGGGTGCGCGAGTTTCGTATCCGTGAGACGAAGAACGAGAGCAAGCGGTGTGTCTCAGGAGGAGAGAGGGTGAAAGAGAGAGAGAGAGAGAGAGAGAGAAGAATAACGAGAAGGTTGCGTCGTGGACGAGGAATGTGAGAAGCGACTGAACGGTGCCGTGTAAACAAGCGTCTCGACGCGAGGAGAGGCGAGGCGAGACAGCCCACCAGCGACGTCGTCGCAGTGTTCGATGTCGTTGGCTTCGTCGTCATCGTTATCATCATCATCATCATCGTCATCCTCATCATCATCATCATCATCATCATCATCATCATCATCATCATCAGTATCAAACATTGACGGTGCTTGTCAGTGAAGCAGCAGCAGCAGCAACTCCAAATTCCTAGTCGCAACTCGGCATCGCGAGATTGCTGTGGTGGTGGCATCGATCATCATCAACACCGGCACTGCCAACGACACGCGTATGTGAATCCGCATTACAAATGACAGTGCACTGGACCGTGGGCGGACAAGCGAGGTGCTGGCTGAACTCGTCGTCGTCGTCGTCGTCGTCGTCGTCGTCGTCGTCGCCGTCGTCGTCGTCGTCGTCGTCGTCGTCGTCGTCGTCGTCGTCGTCGCCGTCGTCGTCGTCGGTTTAGCGGACAAAGAGGTGAGTACATCGCGCTCGTTTCGTTCCTAGTGGACTCTTCTGCGAAAATTCTGCCTCGGACGCTCCATCCCCCCCGCGACTAGACCTTGTCTTCTAATCGCGGGACGTTGTTCTCGAATCAGGGCACGACATCGGCGAGCGATCTCTCTCGTGTCTGGCGCGATCGCGCCCCGACACCGACTCGATTCCGTCGTCCCCGACGCGGTGCTCCGCGGCGAGTCGCAGCTTCCGCCGCGTTGCCGCGGGAGCTTCTGCGGCAACCGCTGGCCGCGATTCCAACGAACGCGACCGTTCGTTTCGGGAAATTGAACACGCGATTGTTCGCGGATGTATACTCGGTTATTCACGAATGTGCGTCAACTGCTATGGATGTTGTTCCAGTGAATTTTGATTCGCGCGGAACTCGCCTGCCAGTCGTGAGGCAGCAGCGCAGTCGCTGCTCTCAGCTGTTACTCCGAAACTGCCCGAAATTTTTGCGTACACTTATCGGTTATGAATAAATCGGACGTTTCCGACTCGTCGCAGGGCCGGGGTGTGTCGCGGGATAATATTACACAACGCCTGCTCTCTTTATCTGCGCAATGTATACCTTGCCTCTGTCTCCCTCCTTTTTTTTCTCGGCCGAAGAACGAGACGAGGTGCCTGCAGTAAGGAGCAGACGTAAGGAGAGCGCGCGCGGGCCGAAAGGGCCGATCCATTATCGATTGCATTTCGCTCCATTATCTCGCTCGAAAATAGTCCGTGCATCCGCGGCTGGGTCGTGCCAAAAGCGGCGGTCGACCGACAATGCCGCCGCGACGCAGGCTCCCCTCCACCCTGCCGCCCGCCGCGGATTCCCGTATTTTTACGGTGCAAAACGCGCCTCAAGGTGAGCGTCTTTTTCCGATATTTTTCCGCGTCGCTCTCCTCGCGGCGACCATTTTTTCTGCGGCCGCGTCGAAAAAAGAGAAAGCGTTGCATAACGACATCGTCACACCCGGCCTGACATCTTCGAGTTCGCGACATCGCGACATGAACGCGCGTCTCTTCGTCAACAAACGGCGCGCCGATTATACGTGTAAATATCAGCTGGATACGACGTTATCGCGCTCCGATATCGATCGATCGCTCGCTCGCTCGCTCGCCCGCCGACAACCGCAGCCGACTTTATCGCTCCGCCAGATGATATTCGGCCGATTGAACTCGCGAGCGTTATCGCGAATCGGTCCGCAAAGTCCTCCAGGACTTTCCCTGTCTTCTCGCCGTAGGAGAGACGCAACAACAAGCCCGATCTCGCGCTTCGGCGCGCTGGACAACAGCGATCGTCAATTAAATCCTCCCGCAGGAAGCGCAGTATTTCCGAACGTTGCGGACTCGCGCGCCTTCTTGCCGACGTTGTCGCGCCGCTCATTGTTGCGAGCGCGGTACAAAAGACGAGGGGCGGGGGAATCAGCGCGGTTCTGAATAATTGTCGCCCCGCTGGCGCGGCAAAAGTTACGACGGTTCGCGGTATTGTGCGAGTCGAGCTCCGAGCGACTCCGAGTAATTTCGATTTCCAGCTTTCTAGAGTCTCTCGACGGGCTGGCTCGACGAGCCGCGCGATGTAACAGTTTCTGGAAGCGCGATTTCCAGTATGCAGATAAAATCGTCTGGCGTACAAACAACGGAGAGAGCCGGGCATAAAACATCCTCTCATTTCTTTTTTTTTTTTCTTTCCTTTTTCTTTTATATACGGCAAAATTGCTCGCTTATCGGAGACACGCGCATAAAGAGTCGCGTCTGCTTAATATCCGTTGGCAACGTTAATAATGCGCAGCGTGGCCATTGTATACGACGACGATGATAACGACCGTATAATAATAAGCGATTGATAGGATCGTTTCTAGGATATTTCACGACGCACCGGCGCCGAATCGCCGATAAATAAACCGCGGGCTCTCAGACCCGCGTGTAATTAAATTCGGACGGCTTTGATCCTAATAAAACAGACGACGACGACGACGACGACGGAGCCGGGCGTTTTCGCCGCCGAGCGATAAATTGCATCGCGTTTCACCCCCTCCTCCCGAAATCGTATTCTTTCGCCTAAATAAACATCTGGTGCTCGGTCGTGTCGAGGCGAAGCTAAATACGCGAAATTAATGTAACAACGCGCGTTTTCGCTGAGATTACAATTCCCTCCCCCTCCCCCAACGCCTTCGTTCCCGCCGCGTCGCTTCGTTCGGCGATTCGCCTTTGCATTCGTCGTGCAAAATATCGAGCGTCGCGATATATACGCGAATGTGTGTGCGCGCCGCGAAGACCGAATGCGTCCGATTGATCGAGGTTAAAATTAAATACGGCGCACCTCGAAGAGCGCGAAAAACTCACTTCCCGATGCTCGCGCGGTTTCCGCGCGCTCTCTGGGTATCACGACGAAAGGCGAAAGGCGACGCGCCGATCAGCGGGATTTTAGGCCTCATTCTCGGCTTTTTTTTCTCGAGCGGCGACGAGAGATTAGCGTCACGTGCGATTATCACCATTAGACACGGACGCGCATGCATCTCAACCGCCGCCGAGTACAATGCACAATCGCATGACGCGCCACGTCCTCGTCTCTCGTCGTGTGCGCGGCTCAATGTTTGCGCGCGCGCGGTCACATGCTCAATCTCGACGTCTCGTCCAATAACCAAATCCGCCCCGAATAACTTCGGACGCGGAAAAACCAGGC